GAGTGAATGTACAGTGCTCTCTCCCACCTTCAATACCACGACTGAGGTGCCCTTGAGCAAGGCACCGAACCCCTAACTGCTCCCCGGGTGCTGCAGCAAAAGTGGCTGCCCACTGCTCCGTGTGTGTGTGTGCACTTTGGATGGGTTAAATGCAGAGCACTAATTCCAAGTATAGGTCACCATACTTGGCCACATGTCACGTCACTTTCACTTATGCCAGTAGCTGGCAACAAGTGAGTCAATGAATCATTCACTCAATCAATTTGTTCAAACACACTGATTGACTGAGGTGCCCTTGAGCAAGGCACCAAACCCCTAACTGCTCCCTGGGCGCTGCAGCAAAAGTGGCTGCCCACTGCTTCTTGTGTGTGTGTGCACTTTGGATGGGTTAAATGCAGAGCACTAATTCCAAGTATAGGTCACCATACTTGGCCACATGTCACGTCACTTTCACTTATGCCAGTAGCTGGCAACAAGTGAGTCAATGAATCATTCACTCAATCAATTTGTTCAAACACACTGATTCATTCGGGAGCGAAATGCCACTGTCTGTTTCTCAGTGACAGCTATATAGAGTATTTTCAATGCACACTACTACAACATAAAGTTTGAGAACGGCTTGAACATTAAGCAGCTTGAGAAGAAGAAAATGCTGAAGTTTTGAGGAATAGTCTATCAATACAGTGCTGTGCTGAAATATGTGATTGGTCAAGATTCCTTGCAATATTTAAATGCTGCTTGCAATAATTATTATGTAAAAAAATGAAATGCAAAAGTCTTAAGACTTAAGAGTCAGTACGTTCTAAGACAGAGTGATTTTTTTTTACTCATTTTGAAATACAGGCCATCAGGCATGACTCTCTTTTTGTTAGACTCATATACATTAATATAGTGTGTCCAATTTCTCAAAATATTAAAACAACAGAAGATTTTTTTCCATAATGGAATTTTATACTCACACCGAATTTTCAGCTTAGGCTAAACAAACAGCAGAAGCCTCACAGCAGCCATAAGATACTTCACTGAAAGATACACCACCAGGGAACCAAACAGGATTTTCCACATGGGACCTAAAAGAGATTATTTTAGCATCTAGCTTATTCAGCACTCTCCAAATCACTTTTAACCCATAACTGTGTGGAGGCGATCAATATGAAATAGGCCCATACACACACACACATATGGCCAGTATGTACAGAAATATGTGACCCTAGACCACAAAACCAGTCTTAAGTCGCTGGGGTATATTTGTTAATTATTATATAAAAAAATGAAATGCAAAAGTCTTAAGACTTAAGAGTCAGTACGTTCTAAGACAGAGTGATTTTTTTTACTCATTTTGAAATACAGGCCATCAGGCATGACTCTCTTTTTGTTAGACTCATATACATTAATATAGTGTGTCCAATTTCTCAAAATATTAAAACAACAGAAGATTTTTTTCCATAATGGAATTTTATACTCACACCGAATTTTCAGCTTAGGCTAAACAAACAGCAGAAGCCTCACAGCAGCCATAAGATACTTCACTGAAAGATACACCACCAGGGAACCAAACAGGATTTTCCACATGGGACCTAAAAGAGATTATTTTAGCATCTAGCTTATTCAGCACTCTCCAAATCACTTTTAACCCATAACTGTGTGGAGGCGATCAATATGAAATAGGCCCATACACACACACACATATGGCCAGTATGTACAGAAATATGTGACCCTAGACCACAAAACCAGTCTTAAGTCGCTGGGGTATATTTGTAGCAATAGCCAAAAATACATTGTATGGGTCAAAATGATTGATTTTTCTTTTATGCCAAAAATCATTAGGACATTAAGTAAAGATCATGTTCCATAAAGATATTTAGTAAATTTCCTACTGTAAATATATCAAAATGTAATTTATGATTAATAATATGTATTGCTAAGGACTTCATTTGGACAACTTTAAAGGCGATTTTCTCAATATTTTTATTTTTTTGCACCCTCAGATTCCAGATTTTCAAATAGTTGTATCTAAATCAAATATTCTCCTATCCTAACAAACCATACATCAATGGAAAGCGTATTTATTCAGCTTTCAGACGATGTATAAATCTCAATTTCAAAAAATTGACCCTTATGACTGGTTTTGTGGTCCAGGGTCACATATGTGAATAACTCATCTTCAATTCCTCATGTTCAAGGACTCATGAAAGATCATTGGGTCAGATCTTTGTTAATTCTGCAAGACTAAACATGCTGTTTACTAAAGAGAGGCCATGGAAGAACATGCAGAAGACAACTTAAGAAAAAAGACGATGAAGCTGGAATCAATTGCATTTATTCTGGCGAATAAGAGTCAATTTCACACGCTTTCAGGATTTCAGTAAAGCAGTGTCTTGAGGCTGTCAACAATAAAGCTGAACAAGACAGCTAAATGACCCAAAAGGTTGGAGGGAAGTGCTTAAACAAAACCCAGCTAAGTTTGTGCAGTAATGTGAGGAGCTGAATGCCGCAGGATGGCAGTTCAGGAATGGCTAGAGCTGACAGTGTATATAAAGTTAGCCAGCTTTTTGGACTGAGCAATCAAAGAGGAACAAAAGTAAAGCTCAGAAGAATAAAAAAGGGGGGGGGACCTTAGGGATGAAGTAAACAGAGGAAAGTTGCAAAAACTCAGAACTTAAAGCTGAGCAATGATCCTTTGAAAAAGAGTGGAGGGCGAAGATCAAGAAAGAAAGAAATCACAAAGTCAGAGACACACGGCATAAATCCAAAAAGGAAGTTATTGGATAAAAAGAAATGGTAGGTTGACAAACTATAAAAAGCACGTTAGACCTTGAGAAAATATATTGGGATTTTTAAGGTGAGCAAGTCTGAAGGTCCACAGCTGCATGACAAAGAACTTGGAAGTTTGAATGGAAAGAGGCTTGACATAAATATAGCTTTGATAAAATACTGCAAATTTAGTCCCTCACACCTGTTCTGAGAGAACCTGCTGCTTCAGTCGTTGCTTTGGTGTCTTGCTCCATCTTGTGGTTCAAAGGGTGCAGCCTATTTGAATCTTCTGGTGACTATGAATTGAATCACATAGCCTACGGAAATGCAAATAGTTTAGTTTATTTAAAAAAAACAAAAAAAAATTGAACATTTAATTTTATTCCTCACTAAAATGTCCATAGGCTACTTGTGAAACAAATATGTTCATGTTTTTAAATAGGCTAAAACAAATTTGTCACAGAAGATATGTAACGATTGGATTATAATAAATAAAATATCTGATTTATTACTAATTATTTTTCGTTCTCTATTATTATCTGTGGTTGTGTCGTAGTACGACACGCCTGGCAGATGGTCTGATTCATTTTAACGAATCGGTTCGTTTCGGTGAAACGATTCACTAGGGCTAGGCTAATTCTTTTGAGTCGTCATGTTCATCAATTCTAACAATTATGTTGAAAAACTACGATTTATCACTATTTAAGTATTTAAGTAAGTTATCCATAGTCAAGTCAAGTCAAGTTTATTTGTACAGCGCTTTTCACGATACAAATAATTGCAAAGCAACTTTACAGCAAATTAAGTTTCTACAATATTTAGTGGTAGCTTATCAGTGGTGACTGTCAGTTAATGTACATATGGCAGAAATGTACGGAAAAATCAATTTAAGACGTAATAAAACAGACGATGAACACTATTAACAGCAATTATTATATGATGCAATCAAAATGCTTGTAGTAGTATTTATCGTAGACTAATTACTAATGTGTTCCAGTTGTCATCCTTATTTACGTAGATCCTAACAGTAGCCTATTTGTGTCAGATAGACTAGCTACTATCTTACAAGAAAAAGTATATTTTTATGTAATGTCATATTTAAGTGTTTAAATCAAGGCAACAGAACCAAAATCAGCACATATTACTAACATGCGCTTAGTTTGGTTGTGTTGTCTTGATTTAAACACATTATGATCAAATAAACTGATAACTGAATCTGGGTGCAGTTACTGAATTTTGGAGATTACAAAATATGGGGATGTCATGGTTAACATATTAAGTCAATAACTGTATGTAAGCACAATCATGCATTCACATTCTCAAAAATATTAATTTTTTATACCGCTTTTAAATACTTTCCAAAGTCGCAGATGACCACTTTCAGTCATAGCCTAATGGATTATAAAACTGTTAAAACACAAAGTAAATATTTTTGGTAACATAATAATTGCATACAGATTAAACAATTAAACAATGTGATTCAAACAAACAAAATGTGCTCATTAACACCTATAACAGCTTTCAGAGAGAGATAACAATTCCTTATATAATATTGGAATAATATTGTGGACAGTGTTCAATGGAAGAAAGTATGGACTTTGCCTCATAAGTATCTGCTCACAAATAAAGTAAAATAAATAACATTTGTTGATTCATAAATGTTACCTTACTACAGCTTTTCTTAGAAAATATAAGTCAGACATTGAAGTGAATTGCAGTTTTCATTCTTCTGAAAAAGACTTCATTCATTTGTTTTGGCAATGTCCCAGCACAGAAAAATGTTGTAATCCAATCTTATTTTGTAAGTGATTCTTTTGGTTTTAAAGATGCTTTCTTTGGATTGTTTGACTACGCAAAAGAGAATACAGGGAACTTTTACATAATAAATTTGTGTTTCCTGCTAGCTAAATTTCACATTCATAAGCAAAGGTTTACTTGCTCTAAACCTCTTTTCATTGTTCAAAGTTGATTTAGACAAGTATATGGAAACTAAGTTCTGTCAATCTTAAAGCTGAAAACTGTATTTCTGTATTCCTCCTTTGTGTCTTTGTAAGGTGTTCATTTATTTATTTATTTATTTTCTGATTGTTTGGTATGTTTGTTACCCTGGCAATACGTATGTATCTGTGTTTACTTTTGTATTTGTTTTGAATGTATGTCTACAATTAAAACGTACAGGTATAACAGCACAGTGATTCAGAAACGCTTCGCGAATCAGTTCGACTAAATCAATAGAACCGACTCGCACATGATTCGCGAATCAGACACTTCCTGAAGCTGACACTTCCTGTAGCACCGCCTTAAACAAAACAAGCAACTTTCCATAGAACCCAGAAAGAAGGCCGTTGTGAAGACAATCTACTACAGCGGACATATACAATACTTGTTTATTAATCACCCGTCTATAATCGAGAGAGAGTGTGTTTTCATAAAAGCTCTGAGGCTGTGAGCTGGGAATTACAGCTATGATGGCGTCCAGCTACAGCGCAAAGGAGGAAGACGGTCATCACTCCGGACCCGCGGGGCTCGGCGGAGCCGCCATCCGGACTCGAAAGCCCGACAACACGGCCTTCAAACAGCAGCGGCTACCGGCCTGGCAGCCCATCCTGACCGCGGGGACCGTGCTGCCCGCCTTCTTCATCATCGGCCTCATCTTCATCCCAATAGGAATCGGCCTCTACGTGACATCCAACAACATCAAAGAGTTCGAGGTTTGAGCCTGTTGCGCTGGGTTTAGTGTCATTTAACTAACAAATACACAGCGAATAGACGTCTGCTGTTCGCTTGGACTTTCCGTCACGTGTGAATCTTGGCACATGTGTTATGTAACCGCGTGTTTCTCTGGTTCACAGATTGATTATACCGGGACTGACATGTCCAGCCCGTGTTTTAACTGCTCCCAAAGCTTCAGCTGGAACAGCACGACTCCATGCAAATGTGTCCTGTTCTTCTCTCTAGACCAGCCTTTCGAAGTGAGTGTGTGTGACCTGACCATTATGTTGCATTCCTGTTGAAGGATAGTTGAGCCAAAAGTAAATATTCTGTCGTTTACTCACACCCGTGATGCTACAAACCCACGTGACTTAACCCTGTAAAGCTTGACATATGACAAAATAGACCAAAAAATATTTTGTTTAATGGAACAATTTATTGAACCTTTAGAGTCGACAAACTCTTTAAAAAAAAAAGTTTGCTTTTTTTAATGTTTGAGTCATCTTATACTTGAGGCATATATGTGACCCTGGACCACAAAACCAGTCCCCAAACCCAATTTTTTGAAATTTGAAGATTTTTTAAAGATTTGAAGATTTACATCATTTGAAAGCTGAATAAATAAGCATTCCATTGATGTATGGTTTGTTAGGATAGGACAATATTTGACTGAGATACAAATATTTGAAAAAAAAAAAAAAATCTAAATATTGAGAAAATCGCCTTTAAAGTTGTCCAAATGAAGTTCTTAGCAATGTATATTACTAATCAAATATTAAGTTTTGATATATTTACAGTAGGAAATTTACAAAATATATTCATGGAACATGATATTTACTTAATATCCTAATGATTTTTGGCGTAAAAGAAAAATCAATCATTTTGATCCATACAATGTATTTTTGGCTATTGCTACAAATATACCCCAGCGACTTAAGACTGGTTTTGTGGTCCAGGGTCCCGTATCAGTGAGAATGAAAATGGAGCTTTATGGATATTCATTGCTCTCTGGTGTTGTTCATTATTTAAAAATTTGATGGAACCATAGTACTTTTTGTTTGTAGTTTAATCTGATTACTTTTATCTGTACTGTGAGGAAACTGTAGACCTAACAAAAACCTTCACTTTCCTGAATAGTAACATTTAAAACACAGCACATATTATAAAATACAAATGTTCCCAGTTTATTTTTAGAAAGGATATTTGATTGGAGATGATGATGGGTTTTCGTAACAGTGCCAGTTCTTGATTCTAACTTTATGTCCTCAGAGTAATGTTTTCATGTACTATGGCCTCTCAAATTTCTACCAAAACCATCGGCGGTATGTGAAGTCCAGAGATGACAGCCAGCTTAATGGAGACCAGCGCTCACTTAAGGTTCTATCTATCTATCTATCTGTCTATCTATATGTCTAACTATATGTCTGTCAATCTATTTTTAGTGCTATCATTCTATACATCGTTCATTTATTTGTTGGTTCTGTCTGTCTGTCTATCTATCTATCTGTCTGTCTGTCTGTCTATCTATATGTCTAACTATATGTCTGTCAATCTATTTTTAGTGCTATCATTCTATTCATCGTTCATTAATTTATTCTATCTGTCTATCTATCAATCTATCTATCTATCTATCTATCTATCTATCTATCTGTCTGTCTGTCTATCTATATGTCTAACTATATGTCTGTCAATCTATTTTTAGTGCTATCATTCTATTCATCGTTCATTAATTTGTTCTATCTGTCTATCTATCTATCTATCTGTCTGTCTGTCTGTCTGTCTGTCTATCTATATGTCTAACTATATGTCTGTCAATCTATTTTTAGTGCTATCATTCTATTAATTTGTTCATCGTTCATTAATTTGTTCTATCTGTCTATCTATCTATCTATCTATCTATCTATCTATCTATCTATCTATCTATCTCTATCTATCGGTCTGTCTGTCTGTCTGTCTGTCTATCTATGTCTAACTATATGTCTGTCAATCTATTTTTAGTGCTATCATTCTATTCATCGTTCATTAATTTGTTCTATCTATCTATCTATCTATCTATCTATCTATCTATCTATCTATCTATCTATCTATCTATCTATCTATCTATCTATCTATCTATCTATCTATCTATCTATCTATCTATCTATCTATCTATCTATCTATCTATCTATCTATCTATCTATCTATCTATCTATCTATCTATCTATCTATCTATCTATCTATCTATCTATCTATCTATCTATCTATCTATCTATCTATCTATCTATCTATCTATCTATCTATCTATCTATCTATCTATCTATCTATCTATCTATCTATCTATCTATCTATCTATCTATCTATCTATCTATCTATCTATCTATCTATCTATCTATCTATCTATCTATCTATCTATCTATCTATCTATCTATCTATCTATCTATCTATCTATCTATCTATCTATCTATCTATCTATCTATCTATCTATCTATCTATCTATCTATCTATCTATCTATCTATCTATCTATCTATCTATCTATCTATCTATCTATCTATCTATCTATCTATCTATCTATCTATCTATCTATCTATCTATCTATCTGTCTGTCTGTCTGTCTGTCTAACTATATGTCTGTCAATCTATTTTTAGTGCTATCATTCTATTCATCGTTCATTCAATTGTTCTATCTATCTATCTGTCTGTCTGTCTATCTATCTATATGTCTAACTATATGTCTGTCAATCTATTTTTAGCGCTATCATTCTATTCATCATTCATTAATTTGTTCTATCTATCTATCTGTCTGTCTGTCTGTCTGTCTAACTATATGTCTGTCAATCTATTTTTAGTGCTATCATTCTATTCATCGTTCATTAATTTGTTCTATCTATCTATCTGTCTGTCTGTCTGTCTGTCTAACTATATGTCTGTCAATCTATTTTTAGTGCTATCATTCTATTCATCGTTCATTAATTTGTTCTATCTATCTATCTGTCTGTCTGTCTGTCTGTCTGTCGTTCTATTGTTCTATCTATTGTTGTCTATCATTCTATCTATTGTTCTGTTGTTCTATCTATCATTCTGTCTATCGTCATTCTGTCTATCTGTCGTTCGTCCTATCAATTGCTCTATTACTTTTTAAATTAAATTAAATTAAATTAAATTAAATTAATTATTAAGTTACAATAGGTCTGCTGCTTCCTGAGTACAAGTACTTAATTCTTGATTTGATGCTATAAAATTGCATGTTATTCATTGAAGCTCAAAGCATATTGCTATATTTCAGGAGCCAAGCAAAGAATGTGAGCCGTACCGCACTAATGAAAACAAGCCTATAGCCCCGTGTGGAGCCATTGCTAACAGCATGTTTAATGGTAAGACCTGGATCCGAATACTTCCCATTGTAAGACCGTTTCCTCAAGAGGTTTAATATTGCTTGTCTCTTTCTCTCTTTGCTTCAGACACACTGGATTTGTTTTACATTGATCCCAATGGAACAAAAACACAAATTCTATTGATCAAAAAAGGGATTGCATGGTGGACGGACAAACATGTGAAGTTCAGGAACCCTGGTGGAAGCAACCCAAATCTTACTGCTGCTTTTATAGGTAGAATAAATACACTTGTATATAATTCTGTATAGAGGAGTATATGTACTCTGATGAATTAGCATAGGTTTTCCCGTATCTCTAACTAAAACACTCCTCATCTTCCAGAGACAGCGAAGCCGGTCAACTGGCACAAGCCTGTTTATGAGCTGGACATTGACTCAGAAAACAACGGCTTCATAAATGAGGATTTCATCGTGTGGATGCGCACAGCTGCTCTCCCCACCTTCAGAAAGCTCTACCGCATTATTCAGAAGAAGAACAACATGACACCCACGCTTCCCAGAGGCAGCTACAGCCTGGAAGTCACCTACAGTATCCTTGCATTGCATACCTCTAAAACATAACGAAATATTTCCGATTCTACGCAAGATGCTTTTTGTAACATTCTGACATTATACACAGATAACTATTCATTCTAAAAAATATTAAATTAGAAAAAAAAAAAAATATGAAGGATTTTTACTAGTGATCTTTGACTTTGATAAGTATATTCTACTGTTCAAAAGTTCAGGGTCAGAACGATTTTTCTTTAAAAAGAAATTAATATTAACATTAAATTGATCAAAAGTGGCAGTGAAGACAATTTTAATGTTACAAAAAGATTTCTATTTTAATAAATGTTGTTCTTTTGAACTTTCTGAAAATGACAGTTTCTACAAAAACATGGAGCCACACAACTGTTTTAACATTAATAAAAAGTTAATAAAATGTTTTTTGAGTATCAGATCAGCTGTTGTAATGGCTGCTGAAAATCCAGCTTTCCCATTACAAAAAACAAATTGCATTTTAAAATATATTAAAATAGAAAAGTTATTTTACATTGTAGTATTTCACAGTATTACTGTAATTTTGATCAAATAAATACACTTTGATGAGAATAAGAAACTTCTTACATTAAAAAAAATCTTACTGACCACATAATGTTTCAAAGGTGATGTATATTTGCTCTGAACTAGCTAAAATTTTTTATTTTTTCCATCTGTGGAATCATAACGGCTATTGTTGTCTAGTAGTCGAACAACCATAAAGTCAAAATCTAGTTATAATGGTCAAGCCATGTTGACCATAGACTTTTTTTTTTATTAAATCAACTACTAAATGAAGGAAGACTGATATTAGTTTACCTTTGTATGTACCAATGTAACAATAGAAAGTAGTAAATATCTATATTTATCTTTATGAAACCATTCTAAACTTCACAGGAACGCCATGAACAATAATCAGTGATAACCCAAGCTGTTGTTTTATGTGTTTGATCTATTTATTACAACAGTAAAAGAAAGAAAGAAAACTGATTAATAGAAATAAATAACTTTTTTTGAATCAATTAATAGTTATTTTCTTAAGTAAAAATTATCGTTTTATTGTGCAGTTCTAAAACTCAATTTACAGAGAATGCATTCAATATATAGAATAGGTCTCATCATTAAATTTAAAGGGATGGTTCACACAAAAATAACAATTCTGTCATTAATTACTCACCCTCATGTCGTTCCAAACCTGTAAGACCTTCGTTCATCTTCAGAACACAAATTAAGATATTTTTGGTGAAAAATATCTTCAAGGTCCAGGTAAAGCTACGAGAATACTTTTTGTTGTATAAAGAAAATAAAACTAACGATTTTATTCAACAATTTCTTCTCTTGCGGACAAAAAGTATTCTCACAGCTTCATAAAATTACGGTTGAACCACGTGGACTATTTTAACGACGCTTCTGTGCCTTGACCACAGTAATTAATGACAGAATTGTCATTTTTGGGTGAACTATCCCTTTAAGCAAAGTGCACACTGGTTGATTGGATATATTTTATTAACTTCTGAATTGATATTATTTCCTCAACTTCTTGCCCCTCAGACTACCCCGTGCGCAGCTTCGAGGGCCGGAAGCGAATGATCCTCAGCACCATCTCCTGGATGGGAGGGAAAAACCCCTTCCTGGGCATCGCCTACATAACCGTGGGCTCCATCTGCTTCTTCCTCGGCGTGGTGCTCCTCTTCATTCATCACAAATACGGAAACCGCAACAACAGCTCTGATGTTCCCAGTTAAGCTTGTCGAGGGCATGTGATCTGGGTTTGAGTAGCATGCTTCGATTGGCGTTTTAAAGGTGCAAGAGCATTTGACCACTTGATGTTCTGTTTATTTATTACTCAAGATGTTGTCCACTTCAAAGTTGTATTTTTGAATTTGTATTTTTTTCTGATGATGGTTGATGGTTCATTTCAAGCATGTTTTGGCCGTCGATATGCACATATGTCTGAGGTTAGTGTGATATTATAACATACGACCATGATAAATAATTTGTATTTTTTTCTGATGATGGTTGATGGTTCATTTCAAGCATGTTTTGGCCGTCGATATGCACGTATGTCTGAGGTTAGTGTGATATTATAACATACGACCATGATAAAGACCAAGTTGTATAAAGTACAGTAAATTAATGTATATTTGTATTTCATTGAAATGGTTTTACTTTCAGCCAAAAGTAATGTTTAAACAGGGCAACATAATATGACTACTTTTAACAGTTTAATGTACAAAGAATAATTTCACTTTTCCTTGAGATTCATAAAGGCAAATACTGTGGCTCTGTTTACTTCCAAACTTCTTTGTAGTGCCAGATTATGGTGGGGATCGGATCAATAACAACTACCATTAAACTTTTAAGGATTGTTCAAATCTTGTTTTGTTTCCTGGAGATGCTTGTGCTCTTTAAAGAAGCTTTGCTGTGTGTAATTCATGGCTTGCAAGGACCAAACGTTTCGTTCTTTGTCTATTTAATTGAAACTGTCTTGGGCTCATTTTGGCTGTCATGTCTTATTTTTGTTTTTTTAAGTGTTTCAGCATGTCTGCCTCTAACAAATAAGCACTTTAGAATGTGACAAGCCATACATTTTTGGCCAGTTTTTAGGATTGTGTGTTTTGTTGTTGGGTGAATAAAATGTTTAATTGCTGAACTTACTGAGAATTTCTCATGATTGTGTGTTGAAGTATCCTTTGCACTCTTCAGTAGCAGGAGGTGATACCAAATACAACACTGAAGACAAAATTAGCATGTTAAATCAGTTAAATAGTGTTATTTTCCTGTATTGAATTGGTGTATTTCCTATTTAAACAGGACGTTTAGATGGAACATATCAAAAGGCTCATCTTATTTAAAAAAAAATATGCAATCGGCTTTAGTATCGCAATCTGAAACCATTGGTTTGCTACAATTTTGAAAGTATAGTTTACCCCAAAATTGCTCACAATCATGTTTTTTTTATTTTATTTTGTTCAGTGAAAAATGTTTGCATATGTAATAGCATAGAGGTTTGAAACAACTTCGATATTTTCAGTAAATTAAATAACAGCATGCAGGTTTGGAATGATCCTCTGCAGTGAATGGGTGCCGTCAGAATGAGAGATTAAACAGATGATAAAAACTTCACAATAATCCGTAAGTAATCCACACCACTCCAGTCCCATCAATTAACATCTTGTAAAAAAGTAAAATTAAAAAAAATGTATATTTGCAAGAAACAAATCCATCATTAGCATGTTTCTGGAACACCATAATCCATAATACTGCTTTCTCCAATGAAAATGCCGACTGAATCAGGAGAGAAATATGCAAAGATGAAGAACCATTTTCAGTTCTCAACAAATATATCTGTGGATTCTTATGTGATCGGAAAACAGGTGATGAACTTTTTCACTGGAGCTTTATTTTGGATTATGGTATTTAATTTTAACGGTTTAAAGTTAAAATGTTTTAATGATGGATTTGTTTCTCACAAACACGTAGCTTTTCACTTCACAAGATATTAATTGCTGGACTGGAGTGGTGTGGATTACTTGTGGATTATTGTGATGATTTTATCAGCAGTTTGGACTAATTCTGACGGCACCCATTCACTGCAGAGGATCCATTGGTGAGCAAGTGATGTAATGCTTGATTTCTCCAAATCTGTTCAGATGAAGAAACAAACTCATCTACATTTTGGCTGGCCTGAGAGTGAGTCCCTATTCAGCAATTTGTCATTTTTGGGTGAACTATTCCTTATCAGTTTTTAGTGGTGATATTTTAGAAGATGCTTCCTGATCTGTTTTGTTCTCTCTAATGAAATGTTTTTCAGACATGGTACCCCAGTAATACATGATAATACTATTGTTTTTTTTTTAACCAAAGCTATGATAATTGTTAAAAAGTCAATGTCATAAGAAAGCATGTGATGAATAAATGAAAATAGCACTGTTTTATGTCATTTGATCAAGAAAGAGGAATATTTCCTCTTCTTTTGTGACCAGTGAGACTCAGAAGGTGAATGCATGTATAGCAGAAGGTATACAACACTATCTGCTTATGATAAACGGCACTAAAAAAGTTTTTTCCAACTAAATCATAAAATCTAGGGTCAGTAAAAAGGACCAGCAATCAAGGCATCTGTAAAGCTGTGAATCTGATAGCCTCTGGCTTCTTCATTACACCATAAGCAGCATCTGTTCTCTCCTGCTGTTGGTATGTTGGACTGCATGAAAGAGCAGATGTTGAACGGCCCAGAGGAAAAGTGCTGGACTAATTACCTGCTTCCCAACCCAAGTGCCTGTTTCACTCGCTCTCACATCGTCAGCCCACTTCTGGACCACGGCTGACCTCGCACAACATCAGCAGCGATTGAGATGTGCTGGTGTGAGATAATGATGTGCACTGCAGCTCATGTGACTCCAACGCTGTGTTTCTGTTTCTCTGTTCTCCTGTCAATTAGTGACAGACTTTCTTAGCAAGTTCAGTTAATGATCTTGGGTGTCAGAGAGAGTGAGACTTCCCAGAAGATTTAAAAGCAGTCTAGAATTTGAAACATTACATCTCTTTAGAAAATGACTCAGCAAGTGTACATATGTCTCAGTGTGACGTCTGTCAGCTCTTTCATCTGCTGATGTTAATATATCAACCAATTTGTATGTTGTACACAGTCAGGTCCATATTTATTTGGACACAGGCACAATTTTTATTATTTTAGCTGCTGACCAAAACATATTCAAGTTACAGTTATATAATGAATATGGGCTTAAAGAGCACACTCTGAGCTTTAATTTGAGGGTAATTTCATCACAATTGGAGGATAGGTTAAGGAATCACAGCTCTTTAATTTGTACCTCCCCCCTTTTTCAAGGGACCATAAGTAATTGGACAATTGACTCAAAAGCTGTTCCATGGACAGGCGTGGGCTATTCCTTCATTATTTCTACATCAATTAAGCAGGTAAATGGTCTGGAGTTAAGTGTGCCGTTTGCATTTGGAAGCTGTTGCTGTGAATCCACATCATGCGGTCAAAGGATCTCTCCATACAAGTGAAACAGACCATTGTTAGGCTTCAAAATCAAAACAAATCCATCAGAGAGATAGCAGGAACATTAGGAGTGGCCGAATCAACAGATTGGTACATTCTGAGAAAAAAAGAAAGCACTGGTGAGCTCAGCAACATAAAAAGGCCTGTCCACGGAGGACAACAGTGGTGGATGATCTGAGAATCCTCTCCATGGTAAAGAAAAACCCTTTCACAACATCCAGTTAAGTGAAGAACACTCTCCAGGAGGTAGACGTGTCACTGTCAAAGTCTACAATCAAGAGAAGACTTCACGAGAGCAAATACAGAGGATTCACCACAAGGTGCAAACAAGGCCAGAGTAGACTTTGCCAAAAAACATCTAAAGAAGCCAGACCACTTCTGGAAAAGCATTCTTTGGACGGCTGAAATTAAGATCATCCTGTACCAGAATGACGGGAAGAAAAAAGTACGGAGAAGACTTGGAACAGCTCATGATCCAAAGCATACAACACCATCTGTGAAACATGGTGGAGCAGTGGGATGGCATGAGCATGCATGGCTTCCAGTGGCACTGGGTTACTGGTGTTTAGTGACGATGTGACAGAAGATAGAAACAGCCGGAAGAATTCTGAAGTGCACAGGGATATACTCTCTGCCCAGATTCAGCCAAATGCAGCAAAGTTGATTGGACGGTAAAGTCCTAATCCCAGCTGAACACCTCTGGTGTGACTTTAAATGCAGACCTTGAGCCAAAAGCTCATTACCAAACACCAATGACTTGTACATACACTATATGGACAAAAGTATTGGGACACCCCTTCTTTAGAACAGAAAAAGGCACTTCCAAAACTGTGGCAACAAAGATGGAAACATAATTCATGCATTTAAAAATTGTATTTCCCTCTCTGTTGCAACAGTTTTGGAAGTGTCTAAAATGACTGTACCCATATGTACAAGTCATTGGTGTTTGGCGATGTGTTTTTGGCTCAAGGTCTGCATTTAAAGTCACACCAGAGGTGTTCAGCTGGGATTAGGACTTGGATTTCTGCAGACCAGTCAAGTTCTTCCAGACTGACTGAATCAATCATTTCTTTTTGAACCTTGCCTTACACACAGAGGCATTCTCATGTTAGAATAGAAAAGGGTCCCGTCCAAACTGTTGCTATAAAATTAGAAGCACACAATTCCCTAGAATATCATTATATGCTTAAACATTAAAGGGCACTTATTATGCAAAATTCACTTTCACATGTTATTTGGGCATAAATGTGTGTTGGCAGTGTGTGTACACAACCACCCTACATAAAAATAAAAATATAAAAATCCATCAGCTCCTTTTTTAATCTCCATATATCATTAGCAGTGTCTCAGAGCAAACGGATTATAGAATCCATACTGCCGTAATCTAGCCGAGACCCCACCCTGAGTGAGCCGCAAACAAACCGCCATGTTTATCTTCACGCTAGAGCAGGGGTGTCAAACTCAATTCCTAGAGGGCCGCAGCCCTGCAGAGTTTAACTCCAACCCTAATTAAACACACCTGATCCAGCTAATCGGGTCCTTTAGACTTATTTGAAAACTAATGTGTGTTGGAGCAGGGTTGAAACTAAACTCTGCAGGGCTGTGGCCCTCCAGGAACTGAGTTTTACACCCCTGTGCTAGAGCATTTAAAAGCAGCATTCAAGTAAGAAATATCTTCTTATTGAAGCTATAGACGTTATTCAGTCCAGAGCAGTAAGTGATTCTCTGCTTTTATTTTATTCTTTGGGTCATATTAAAGGGGTCATATGATGCTGCTAAAAAGAACATTATTTTGTGTATTTAGTGTAATGAAATGTGTTTATGCGGTTTAAAGTAAAAAAACCCACATTATTTTCCACATACTGTACAATACTGTTTCTACTCTATGCCCCGCCTTTTTGAAACGCGTCGATTTTTACAAAGCTCACTGGTCTGAAAAAGCGAGGTG